GGGGGGGGAAGGAGGGGGAGGGGAAGGAAATGATCGCTGAGTTCGCTGCATCTCATGATGGTGGAAGTTTTCTTTTGGTATTCTTCCAGCCAACGATCTCTCTTTCTTTTGGTATTCTTCCAGCCGACGGTATTTGGAATGAGAACAGTCGAGGATCCATTGGAGGGCAAGTCTTTTTTTTTTTTTTTTGGAAAACGAGGGCAAGTCTGGTGCCAGCAGCCGCGGTAATTCCAGCTCCAATAGAATATATATTTGAGTTAAAAGAAAAAGGATCTCTCTTTTTTTTTTTTTTTTTTTTTTTGGAGTTCCCATTAGCTTTATTGCAAAGGAGAAATGACCAGGGTTGGGGTTATCAGAGCAGCGGTCTATTTTTTTTTATTATTATTTTTTTTTGGAGTTCCCATTAGCTTTATTGCAAAGGAGAAATGACCAAATTCCTGCTTCTGGATTTCCTCCAAACGCCTGCTAAGCTGGGTAATGGTCTCAGACTCTCAGTCAATTGGCTACTTTTCCGGTTGGTTGTTGAGGGATTCCCGGTCTCTGTTTCCTTCTTCTTTTCTTTTTTGGGCCATGCTAATCTTCTCTGTATCGTTCCAATTAACGGATGTCCCGAAGAACGCTATTTCCTTTTTCTGCTAATGACAACTCACCTGAAGAACAAGAAAAAGGAGAACTGGAGTTGAGGCGGAGGAACTCGCAATTCCATCCGGGAAAGCACTGGGGCCCCTACCCAGCTTTGGCTTGTGCTGGCAGCTTAGGGCCTCGCCACACCACTGTCGAAAATGCGATTTTCTTTAGTTTCTCTTGGCCACACAGGCTGTGGAAATTGGAGACGGGAAGAAAATTCGCAAGTTGTCAGAGAATGCTTCCTAACACCTCCTGTCGTCACACCAATGTAGAAAACTGCATTTTTGACATTTTGTCCTCGCCACACAGCATGTAGAAATCTGAGATGCAAAAAAAACTCAGGAGCTGTCAGGGAAGGGGTTTCTACACCTCCTGTCGAGAAGGGCTCGTTTCCCAGCCTGCAACTTGCACACTTTCAACAGTCCTCGGATGGGATGTCGAATTCTTGCCCGAATGTCGAAAAAGAGAACGCACCAACGCTTGTCCTATCTTCACCCCAGTTTCGTCCCTTTTGTGCACAGGACTTGTGAGTTCTTCACTTGTCCATGCTGTGTGGCGAAGAGGGGTTTTCCGTCGAAAGAGGGAATGTCGAGAATTTCCTGACAAATTTCGTGATGTTTCCACATTGGTGTGGCGAGGCCCTAAATCCCCGGTCTCCTGCTACTCCTATGCTTTGGACAGTCCTCTGCTGCACCATCATCGACTTCTCTTCAAAATTTGGTGAGTGGGCCTGAGGTCGGGATGGCCTAATGTTTGTAGTACCCTAAGGCGCATCTTTAAACCACCAGTACTTGGCCCATACATCGGCCACGGGCCCTTAGCGTTAACGCTACGCAAATTTCGCGGCCTGCGGGCCCTGGATAATTCACATCAACAGCCCATGTCGCTTCTTCGACCTCCGAGGGCCGGCGCGCAGGCTCGGCATCGATAGCTGGGCCAAGTACTGGTGGTTTAAGGGCCTCACCACACCAATGTCGAAATTCGACATATGTCAGGAATTTTTTTTTATTATTATTTTTTTTAAAATGGGAACAAAGCTCCAATCTATTCGTGGGGAGCAACACATGCTGGGAACCGGGCCCAGCGTCCCATATAGAAAATTACATAGGATTTTGAAAAAAATGGAGAATTTGCAGTACTGGGGCCACGACCCGGCTTTGGCTAAGAGCTAGATAAAGAGATACAAACAAGCTACCAGAAATAGGCAAAAATTCAGGAACAGACTCAGACCCCCCTCCATCCTCATTACCTCACTTCGGCAAGTCTTACTGCAGCAGAGCCACCATCTCTGCTGCTGCTGTACCCTATTACCATCCTACCAGCTAGCCCCCTCACTAGTAGGACGCTTGATATCCAACCTTCTTCTCCCGCTCACCTAGGCCAAGTTTCAGGAAACGTCTCGAAACCCCCCATCCATCCTCTTTACCTCACTCCGGCAAGACTTACTGCAGCAGAGCCACCATCTCTGCTGCTGCTATACCCTATTTCCATCCTACCAGCTAGCCCTTTCACTGGTAGGACGCTTGATATCCCGCCATCTACTTCCAACACCAACCAGCGTCGTTCTGACCGCAGATTTATGAGTATAACAGCATCTCGAGACCACCAGAAGCAACTGAAAGACAATTTTGAAGGTTTGGGGTACCGGGGTCATTACCCGGCTTTGGCGAAGAAAAATTGGAGCCAGATTAAGAATTACTATGGCAAAATTCAGAAAATTGGCAAGACTTCAGGAAACGCCTCAGAAAATCCCATCCATCCTCTTTACCTCACTCTCCACATTCTCTCTTTCGGCAGAAAAACCCTCTTTGCCACACAGCATGTGGAAGTGAAGAACTCATGAGTCCTATGCACAAAAGAGACAAACTGAGGTGAAGATAGGACAAGCTTTGGTCCGTTCTCCTTTTCGACATTAGGGCAAGAACTCAAAATCCCATCGGAGGACTGTTGAAAATGTCCAAGTTGCAGGCTGGGAAACGAGCCCTGCTCGAGGCGAGGTGTAGAAACCCTTTCCCTGACAGCTCCTGAATTTTTTTCCCATCTCGGATTTCGACATGCTGTGTGGCGAGGAGAAAATGTTGAAAATGCTGTTTTCGACATTGGTGTGGCGAGGCCCCTAAATTTTCCATCTTGCATTCGCAAGTGCGTCCACTCTACAGTGCTGTGTGGCTAAAGGGGGGCAAACTGAAGAAGGGAGGCTGTCAAATTTATTCTAACAGCTGTAGAATACTTTTGCCTTTCCACAGTGGTGTGGCGAGGGCCTCGCCGCACCACTGTCGAAAATGCGATTTTCGACAGTTTCTCTTCGCCACGAAGTTGGAGATGGGAAGAAAATTCGCCAGTTGTCAGAGAATGCTTCTCCACACCTCCTGTCGAAAGTTGTTGAATCCCCAGCCTGCTACTCCGATGCTTTCGACACTCCTCGGCTGCGCCATCGACTTCGCTTCGAAATTTGGTGAGTGGGGGTAAGGTCGGGATGGACTAATCCTTGTCGTACCCTCAGGCGCGTTCGCCCTTTTCCATCTTGCTTTCACAAGTGCGTGCACTCTACAGTGCTGTGTGGCGAAGGGGGGGCAAACTGTCGAATGGAGGCTGTCGAGTTTGTTCTGACAGCTGTCAAATCTTTTTGCCTTTCGACTGTGGTGTGGCGAGGCCCTTAGTCCAGCTTCCCTACAACAGCATCTCTGGCTCAAGAGGAAAACTTCCAAAATTGCCTGGTCCAGTGCGGCCTCCATATCATTCGCCAACCAATAATACGCAAAATCAGTGGCCTAGCTTGCGGCCACACAGCCCCTGCCTTGGCCCACTGCCACATTTGACTGTTGGACAGTCAGGGTGACAGGACTTCTTTTTTCCTTTTTTTTTATTTCCCCTATTGGGCGGTAATATTGAGGTTGATAAGAGCAACCCGTATCAATACCCCCCTCTCGGGGGTTCCATCGATTGGTGGGGAGAGTCACCTGCTGGAAACGGGGTCGAGGGTCCCATATATACAAGGATAAAGACTGATACTTGGGCCATTATCCGGCATCGGCTGTGAGGATGGGAACCCCTGCCATTCCACCAGGGGCACCGGGGGAGCACTGCGATTTCACTTCCTTTGAACTATTCAGAATCATCCCTCTAGCGCCGTGCTTCGGAAAAGTGATAAAGCATGCAGTGTGGGGGGAAAGGGTCAGGGAACTCAGATGGGGGACGGGGTGGGAAAGAGGACAAAACGAACTTCCCTTGTAGCGTAACTGCCGCTGGTTTGTTTCCCCATGCCCATGTCCTCAACTACCCTCACACCCCCCCTCCCTGCTCCCCCCAACTTCCCCCGTACCCCACCCTGCCCCCTGCCCCTCTCCCCCCCCACCCCACCCTCGCACTCCACCCTCCTCCGCTCACCGTTACCAAATTGCAGGTGCCCACCGTGCCCATGCAGTGGGAGACCCCGGAGTCACAAGCGACACAGAGAAGGGTGTCCTACGGCAACAAACAAGTGGCGAGAAGCCCCGTGGCACTAAATGGGAGGTGCTCATGCGGATGGAGGCTCCAGAATGACAGATGATCCATGGAAGGGAAGTCCTGTAGTTACGGGAAAAGCATGGGGGAATCCCCGGTGGCTACTGGGGAGGGCTGAAGAGACAACATACAAGGACTCCAACAATGGCCACGGTGCCAGGCTGTGGCAAAGATTCGGAACTCCCTGCAAATCAGAGCCAGGATGTGCTCCCAGCCTCCCACTGGGGCAAAACACTGATGAGCGCTCA